ATTAACTTTCAGAAGAGGAAGGGAGAGGGACATAAAAACATCAATGATGAGAAAGAATCATTGATTGGCTGCCTCATGCACCCCCCTTATCCCCACTGGGGATTGAGCAACCTGGGCATGTACACTTGACTGGGAATCAAACCGTGACCTCCTCTTATATAGGTCGATGCTCAACCACTGAACCACGCTGGCCAGGCACAATGACTTTTTCAATATTTCTAACTGGATGGCTCACAGAAATCTCAAAATTTCTTTGCCTCAAAATAAACATTTGATCCCCCATTCTCACTCCTTCATTTTTCCTCTCTTGGGAGGACTGCACTCAGGCAGCACCAGCTCCATCTTTTCTGTTACCTTCTTCCATTCCCTGCTCCCCCCCCCCAAAAAAAATCATAGTCTAATTCATAACAAATTGCTACTGATTCTATCTCTAAAATATGTCTTGAAATTATTGCAGACATGTTCCTGTCCATCTCTACAGATCTAACCAAGCCACCATCATCTCTTAATCTGACTCGTGCCTAACCTCCAAATTGGTCTTTCTGTTTCAACACTTGTCCCACTTCAATCCACTCTTCATATAGCAGCCAGAATGATTGAATAAATGAGTATAGGATAATGTCCCACAGTCACAAATAAACAGCCCCCTCATTACTGAAAATTATCAATGGCTTATTTCACTTAAAACACAATCTAAAACCCTGTTCATGGCCCTAGCCGGTTTGGCTTACTGGATAGAGCATTGGCCTGTGGGCCAAAAGATCCTGGCATGTACCTTGGTTGCAGGCTTTTCCCTGGCCTGGGCCCTGGTCTGGGCTCATGCAGAAGGTAACCAATCGATATATTTCTCTCACATGGATGTTTCTCTCTGTCTTTCCCTCTCTCTTCCACCCTCCTCAATGGAAAAATATCCTCAGGGGAGGATTAACGAAAAACAACAACAACAAAACAACCCCTTTACATGTCTGAAGGCCCTGCATGAGGTAACCTTTCTCACCAACTTACCCTTGAACTCCTTTTCCACTCAATCATGACACTGATTTCTCTCCTCCCATCAGTACCTCATGTATACCAAACTCTCTTCCATCTCAGGAAGTTTGTACAACCTGTTCACTCTGCCTAGAACATTCTTTGCCCGACTGCATCAGCACTCAGTTCCAACATAATTTCCTCATTATGGTCTATTCTCTGTTCCTCTCTCTCTTGACAGCCCAGTATTTTCCATTGTAACAGCCCACTTTGCAAATATATGTATTTATTTGTGTGTGTGTATTGATTTAATGTCAGTTTTCTCTAAAGAAATTTAATCTCCATGAGGGTACAGACCAGGCCTATTTTGTTTGCCACTGTATAACAGTGATTACAGTTCCTGGCCCAATAATAAATATTGGTTGAATGAATTTATTGTTGCGTATATTGTAAGTAACAATAGATTCTCCGAACCCTGATTGACATCAATTAATTATTATTCTGTGTAACTGTCCCAAATTCCCTAATCCCACAGGCAGGATCTATTCTCCTCCTACAAAATTCTATTTTATAGTCTTCTGAATTTATATTTACAAGACTACTAATGTTAAACATTACCAATACTCACTAATATCCCACTTTCCTACTGTGTTGGATTATTGTTTCCAATATCTGCTACCCCTCCATGTGATAAGATCATTATACCTCCTGACTCTTTGTCATCAGTCTTGCCCATGTGACCTGGGCTACCTCCTCCTGTAGGAGAATTCTATTTCTCTGATGTCATATGTAGGCCAGGTGACTGACTCACTTTGGCTTAAGAGTGGAAGTGAGGTGTACCACTTCTGAACAGAAACATTAGAGCTATTGCATTAATCCGCAAACTCTCATTCCCATTTATCACGAGAATGACAATGCCCCATATAGGGGCTGCTCCTTCAGCCTGGACCCCAGGTCCTTAGAAGCATGTCACATGAGTGAGGAATAAACCGTTGTCACAGTGTAACCCAACCTAATCTGACTAACAAACTCACTTCCTTGAAGTTGGATGTGGCCAATGTGATTGGTTCGGCCAACAAAATGTGAGCACAAGTCACATGGGACACTTCTAGGTGGGTTTAGATTGGTTATATCTCTCTAGGCCTCAGAAGCCATGCCTCTGGGTCCAAATGCAGTGGAGCAGTAACAAATCAGGAACAAAATGTAGAGAAGATTAGATATTTATGACTTGGTCAAGAGAGAGAGAATGAGATTGACTGGAGGAAGGCCCTTTTCACCTAATAAAGATGGGCCTTGACTCTTTCATCCACATCGTTACTGCTGGCTTTGGGCTACTCAGCATTTTCTTGGGTAGGAGCCGACCTGTAAGGGTCCTGAAGTCCTGGATATCAGAGATCACCCAGTCCCCTGTCTCCTTGGCTCTCCACCAGCGAAGTGAAGGAATGTTGTGTACCTACTGCAGCTGTATGGCTCAGGTAGGCTCCCAGGAGAAGTCCCTGCTCCCTCCTTGCCTGCTGGAATTCAGAATCTTTCCCCTATAAAGTGCCTAATTGGTATCATTGGCTTACTGACAGATGCACATGGTGAGGAGGTTCTTGAGAGAGTGGCTAAAATACAATATAGAAGAGCACCAAGCTTCAACCTCTGCTACAAGAAACATTCCCTGTATACCTGTTCCATTCCTAGCAGTTAACAAACATCATGTCCTTGCAACCACCAGGTAAGGAAAATTATATCTTTATCAGACAGATGGGGACATCGGTTCAGAGATCATAGGGATCTTTTTCCCCCCATTTAAAAAAATATATTTTTATTGATTTCAGAGAGGAAGAGAAAAAGAGAGAGAAATAGAAACATCAATGATAAGAGAGAATCATTGATTAGCTGCCTCCTGCATGCCACCCATCCCTACCCCGACCCCCACTGGGGATCAAGCCCGCTACCAGGGCATGTGCCCTGACCTGGAATCTAACCAAGACCTGCAGGTTCATAAGTTGATGTTCAACCACTGAGCCACGCCAGCTGGGCAGAGATCATAGGGATCTTGTTCATGGGTACAGAGTTGTTGAGTGGAAAACCTGGACTTTGAGCACAAATATTTGAAATCTCCCCTTCCCTCTCCTTCTCTTTGTCCTCATCCTCCTCTTTCTCCTCCTTCTCCCCCACACCCTCTCTCTCTCTCTCAGCGACATTGCACATAACACTATTAATTTCCTTCTCTAAAACTCATCCCTATGACCTTTTCCTTGGAAGTTCTTTCTGGCCTGACTTTAAAGGACATTTTTCAATTTCCTGGAAACAGTACCTTTGTAACAAAAGCTAGTTCTTAGAAATAAGATGACAGAGCCCAGAGGGGCAAACTTTGAGAACCAAAATGGTCAAACCTTCTTTCCCGACTCCTGTCAATTACTCGAGTACAGCTGTGCTAGGCCAGGATTCCTAGAGCTCCCAGTGAGAGCCACTGGCCTGGGGCAGTCCTCCCAGGGATGCTTCAGACATCCAAGGCACCACCTAGTGTCCATCTGAATGCAGTGAATGTTCCAGACCAGCGGTTGCCAACCTTTCGGACCTTAGGGACCACCAGTGGTCCGGTTGGCGACCGCTGTTCCAGACAGATGGCCAGCTGCAGGATCCCTCTCCCCAGGTGACTTCCCAGAAGAGAGCACACCATAATTAGGGGAACATGCTGGGGCAGCCACGGCACCCACATCTCGGGCAGTGCCACCACCCGTTGTTCCTGCCTGCTGCTGCCACGTCTGTCTCCAAGCTGATCTACCAGCTCTTGAATGTGACTAATTGTTAGGTGGTAGCCCTGTCAGGCACTTTAGGGCCTACAGTCATCTGGGCCTTAGACAGTTGTTGGTGGGAATTTGAATGACATGACTGAGCTATGTTAAGTTTTATAGAGAAACAACATCTTCCTTCCCTCTTCTCCCACATTTCCCTTCTTTTCGGTGCAAGCTGGTAAAAAAGGGCTGGATTTCTGGGCCCTTACTGAGGCAGTATGCAGGTGCTAGGCGTGTGAAAATGGGAGCATATTTGGGCTCTTTAATCAGGACATGCCAATTACTGCTTCTTGGAATTGATGTCAGCTTCTCATACCATATCCTTATTTTGGACAACTGGCCTTTACTGACAGGTGCTGGGTGCTAATTTATTTCTTATCTCACTCTAGAAAGGCCAGTACAGCACCATGCTGCTTCCCACACAATTCAAAAGTGAACAACAGCTGCCCTACCCTAGGTCTAAGCAGTGTGGGACTTTGGCTCTCTGAGGGGAACCTGTGGGACCCTCTGGAGGGAAAGGACAGCTGCTCCGGCAGCCCAGCTGCTACTTACCAGAAGGGAGGTGAGAAGAGATTATCTTAGCTCTTCAGGACTTTTCATGGAGGAGGTGCAGACAACCCCATGGTCTGACCCCCTCCTTGTCAGACCTGACTCACCTGATGCAGTGTAGTTACGTTGGCATCATGCCATAGAAACTATGTGGCCACAGAGGTGAGCAGATGTGCCTGGCTCACCCTCCCTCTGCCCTGGGTTGGTTTTCTTTGAGCTATTTCTTGGCTTTCTTCCTCATCCTCTGCCCAGACTGGTTTTCCCACCTGTCCATTTTTCTCTTCCTTATAGTCTTCACTTGCCCATTTATGGACCAATTCCGGCTCCTTAGTAAACATTCTTTTCAACTCCCTTCTGAAGTGTTCCTCATGAGAGCACCCTGCAATCATTGCTCATGACTGAGTTCCAAACCATGAGAAACTCCCATAAGATCTTCTGTTTTCTGGAAAGTTCTACTTTAACCAGCATTCTGGTAACTGGGGTTTATTCAAGTGAACTCACTTCTTGATCCCTGGATTTTCATTGTTGGTTTTGGCTGTCTTGTTTTATAAATGTTGAAGGTTTCCTCCCTGCTTCCTTATTTGTCATCCAGTGTTGATTAGATCTCTGCCCTGGTGAGTTTCCAGAGCCTATGCAATCTTCTCAGCTCTGAGATAATGAGTGCGCTTAAGAAAAAATCTTGGGGATCCAGTAGAGTGAAGGAGCATTGACTCCAGAATTAAAACCTGGGGTTCAAGTTCAAACTCTGCTCCTCACTCACTCTCAGAACTTATTTTTTCAGGTTAAGATTCACTGGGGCTTATGATATCATATATTTATGAAGATATTATGAATTGATATATACAAATGAATCATAATATTGTATAAAGCATAGTGCACCATGACAATGATGGTGAAGAGGAAGAAAGAAGAAGAAGAGAAATGATAAGAATAAGCACGAGAGTAAGATGACTCTCACTTCTGGCTGGGAGGGAAGCAGACTTAGGCAAATCCTGTTGGTATCTTTCCTTCAGTGCTCTACAGCTAAGTAGATGTCGTTGAGCAAATATTTATCTAGTGTGTGTTCCTGGGTGTACAAAAATAAGTAAGATCTGGTCTCTGTGTTATATGCCATAATAGAGGTAGGCATAAAATACAATGGAAATAGACAGGGAGCAATGAATTTTCCTGGAAATATATTGTGTCTGGGTCTCAGCCCATCAGTAACCAATCTTGTGATTGGACTAGCCCTGCCTGTGGTTTTTATTTATTAAATTGATTGACATTGGTCAATATGAACATATAGGTTTCAGGTGTGGGTTTCTATGTTACAAGATCTGTATATTGCACCGTGTGCCCACCACCCAGAGTCAAATTTGGTGGCGTATAGTCTTTCATAATATTCTAGCATGGTCCTTTGTATATCTGTGATGTCTGTGGTGACTTCTCTCTCATTTCTGATTTTGTTTACATGGGCCTTTCTCCTTTTTTCCTAAGTGAGTATAGCCAGGGGTTTGTCAATTTTATTAATCTTTTCAAAGAACCAGCTCTTTGATTTACTAAATTTTTTGTATAGTCTTTTTGTTCTTTATTTCATTTAATTCTGCTCTAATTTTTATTAATTCCTTTCTTCTGCTGACTTTGGGTTGCTTTTGTTTTTCTTTTTCTAGTAGTTTAAGATGTGATGTTAGGTTGTTTACTTGGGATTGCTCTTGTTTCTTGAGATAAACTTGTAATGATATAAACTTGTCTCTCTCTATCTTTTGATCTCATCTTTTATTTCTTCTTTGACCCAGTCATTTTTTAGACATATGCTGTTTAATTTCCACGTATTTGTTGGGTTCTTTACTTCCTTTTTGTAGTTGATTTCTAATTTCAAGGCATTGTAGTCAGAGAATATGCTTGGTATAATTTCAGTCATCTTGAATTTGTTGATGCTAGTTTTGTGACCCAACATATAGTCTATCCTTGAGAATTTTCCATGTGTGCTGGAGAAGAATGTATCATCTGATGTTCTGGGATAAAATGTTCTGTAAATGTCAATTATGTCCATTTGGTCTAGTGTTTCATTTAAGGCCAATATTTCTTTATTGATTTTCTGTTTGATTGATCTGTCTAGAGCTATCAATGAAGTATTAAGGCTTCAAACTATGATTGTGTTTTTATCTGTTTCTCCCTTTAGTTCTGTGGATAGTTGTTTTATATATTTTGATGCTCCCTGATTGGGTGCATATATATTAAAAAGTGTTATTTTTTAAAAAAATACATTTTTATTGATTTCAGAGAGGAAGGGAGAGGGAGAGAGAGATAGAGACATCAATGATGAGAGAGAACCATTGATTGGCTGCCTCCTGCACCCCCCTCACTGGGGATAGAGCCCTAAACCGAATCGAACAGTGACCTCCTGGTTCATAGGTCTAAGCTCAACCACTGAGCGCCATGCTGGCTGGGCAGTATTATGTTTCTTGATGTCCATCTTTGTCTCTTGTTATCTTAAAATCTATTTTGTCAGATATATGTATGTCTATACCTGCTTTTTTTGTGGATTTTATTTGCATAGAAAATCATTTTCTACCCTTTTACTTTGAATCTACCTTTGTCTTTGCAGCTTAGATGTGTCTCTTATAGGCAGCATATGGTTGGGTTTTGTTTTTTGATCCACTCTGCTATTCTGTGCCTCTTTTTTTTTATTGCTTAAAGTATTACAAAGAGCATTACATATGTCTCCTTTTCCCCCCGCCCTTGACAATCCCCTGGCCTCCCCTACCCCCAGTGTCTTATGTCCATTGGTAATGCTTATATGCATGCATACAAGTCCTTTGGTTGATCTCTTACCCCACCCTCCTCCTGCCCCCCAACCCTCCCCGGTCTTCCTGCTGTAGTTTGACAGTCTGTTCGAGGCAGCTCTGCCTCTGTATCTATTTTTGTTCATAAGTTTATAATGGTCTTTATTATGCATAAATGAATGAGTTCATGTGGTATTTTTCTTTCATTGACTGGCTTATTTCACTTAGCATAATGCTCTCCAGTTTCTCTGTGCCTCTTTATTGGTAAATTCAGACCATTTACATTTAGGGTAATTATTGATGTATAAGACTTTCCTATAGCCATTTTATCTGTTGTTTTCTGGTAGCTCTGTGCCTCCATTGGTTCTTTTCCTTTATGTTTCTGTATGTTATTTTTGTTTGGGGGAATTCCACACATCTTTCCTCTTTTTTTCAAGCTATATGTCCTGGTTTGGGGATTTTTGTATGTGGTTACCATTAGGTTTATAAAGAATGAAGTTGCATATTACTGTACCTTTTGCTCTTTTGAGTGCAGCTGATCTTCATCTTTCTTTGCCAGTTGAGACCTCTCCCTCTTCCCCTTGTATGTTTTTGTTGTCACAAATTATCCCTGTTTATGCTGTAATTTCTTTGTTGAATTATAGATGGTTAACTTGTTGAAATTTCCGTGGGAGAGGAAAAGTGGCACCCTTGCGCTGCCATTTCTCTGACATCACCTGCGCCACCCCCCCCCCCCCCCGCCGCCCCCGTGGTTTTTATTGTGATTGCAAAACATCCCTCAGCAAAAACCATGAGGCAACTTTAAAAAAAGGCTATTACTTACAGGACCTAGATATTACATGACACACCTGGGCCCACAGAATGAGGTCACAGGGTTGGGGGGGGGGCGGGGAGGGGCACGAACCTGTGAGCCTGGGGTTCTGCTTTTATTTTGGTCGAAGGTGGGGAGGCCTAGTGTTTTGCAGGGTCATTCTTTATTGGTGAATTTAAAACATAAGAGCCAAAATTGAAAGCATGGGGAGAGAAAAAACAACAACAAGCCAAGTAGTTCAAATGGTCAGTTATTGAAATCAACCAGGATCTAAAACAAAGGAGCCTCAGCCGGGGGAGTGCCTGGCTCCTTATCTAGTCCCATGACTGGCAATGAGCTTATTTTGAACCTATAAAGGGCTGGTCCAGGGAAGGGCCACCTCTTGGGCAGGCCTCAAGGTGGGGCTGTGATTAGCCATCTCTTATCTGTGGGGGCCTCACTCTCAGGGTTACTGGGCTGACTTTGTAGGAGCACCACGCTTGCCAGGAGGAAGACTTCTCGTCTTGCCCACTCCCCAGCGGATCTTTTAAGTGAGTCCACTCTATGCGCAGGGTAGACAGGAGTCTCAGGCAGACAACGTATTTTGTAATGCCACTAAACATTATGAACATTTCGGAGGCTTACTAAGGAGAAGTTTACTCAGGGTGCTTATATTAGAAATTACTGGTCTAAGCACATACATGAAAATGAGAAGCATAAAATCAACGAGAGCACTTCCGTCATCTGTTTTCTTTTTCTTAACACTCCGGCTACACTGATGATGGACTAGAAGTGGGACTGTCCTGTGACAAGGCACAACCTGTTCAGAGATGGGTGAGGCTCAGAGGATATGAATAAAAGGGCCATCACACACTTGGGGTAGACTTTGCCTTTGGAAAGGATGGGAAAAAAGCCCAAGTATTTTTCCACACCAGAATACCCTAGGTCAGATCTGGAGGGGTCCGTGGTGTTTTACAGATGGGAAGGGGTCTCACTGAAAGGGTTAGAGGAGGAGCTGACCCTTGGCTGTCACCTGAGTCTCTTATCTCCTAGACTGGAACTCTTTGCATGGCTTCATCTCAACCTAATGTTTTGTTGCCAAAATTCTCTAGACCAGGCCAGCTCTTAACAAAGGCAGAGCTGGTGGGATTTTGCCTAGGAAGAAGTGTGTGTGTGTGTGTGTGTGTTTTAAAAACAAATTCACAAGCTCTGCTCACCGACTGACCATTGAAGCACTTCCATTTAGCTGCAGGCAAGGTACTTCATGCCTTTGCCAGGAGCTTCTAGCTGCTACTTCATTGGCACCCAGACATGGCTTTTGGGGCTGTGTGATTCATTTACACAATTCTTGGTACCCTCGTTCCTACTTCCATATGAGATTCTCGGAATAATGGTGATAATAAGATAGAGAGGATGAATAGAGGACATTTAATACAGTGGAAACACTGATAGTGATCAAGACTAAAACATTATAGTTGCCAGGTCACTGAGAACTGTTCACACTTCTGGTCTGGCTACTGACCCAGAGCTAGAAGACAGCCAAGAATGATAGTGAGTGGGGACTTCACTAAGAGGCCATGGCATGGTCCCCGAGGTAACTGTGTTTATCAGTCTATGTTCATTATCCTTAGGATCCACTCCTACTATTCCTTCATTTGGGTCTTCTGCCTCCATTCTTGCTT